AAGGGGAAGCACCTGCGGAGCCAGCTGCAGCCACCTCCCCCCACCCCCACCCCCTAGAGTGGGTTTAAACCCCGCCCCCACACAGCTGCGGGAGTTTGCTATTCCCAATGGGATGTGGGCTGGGGAACCTGGAACTATAGACCCAGGCTACTGGGAGATAATAGTCACAGCAGACAGCTAAAGTGCCTCGCCCATCCTTTCCCTTTGGGAGGCTTAAATAAGGATCCCAGGCCTTAGCTCAGTGCACACACAACACGAAATATCTGGGAGGACGTGGGAGGGCTTTTTTTTTTTTTCCTGGGCTTGGGTGGGAAGGCATGTAGCGCATGCAAGGCTACTCTCACCCTTCAATGGGCCTTTCCCTGTACAGTGCCCACAGACTCACCAGTGGACTGGGGCTTAGTCACCAGTGGACTGGGGCTTAGTCGCAGGTCTTACATGCCTCTTTGGTCAAAAGAAACAGATCCAGATGAACAATGATGGAAAGAAATTGGGCTTAGTTCTCTCTCATCACAAGTGGCAAGTGGATCCGGCTGACCTGTTTAAAGATGCCCCTTGGTTAGCTCTGACATCCTCAGCATTCACTTAGGGCTCTGAAGTGTGGGGACTCCAAGGACCTCACCCTCCAGGAAAGGGGTAGGGGGTGTTGAGGGGCCACTGACTGTCTTCACTGTGTTTCCTTCTGTAAAGAAAAAAATATTTTCTATAATATTCATTCCTCCAGTCTTCTTGGTGCAGGGTCCTGTGACATTTCCAGCTGCAGGGAGACAGGAGAGTGGAGGTCAGGGCTTCCATGTCTGGCTAAGAGTGACAATTTGCTCACAGATTATGATCAGCTGGAACATTTACTAAATGTTCCAAACTCTTTTTCTTTTTGAGATGGGGGTCTCATGTAGCCCAGGTTGCCTTTAAGTCCTCTGTGTGACCAAATTTCTTGTGTATCAGAGGATAACCTTGAACTCCTGATCTTCCTGTCTTTAACTACAGACTTCTGAGATGTAGAACCCAGGTACATGCTACGTAAGCACCTTACTAACTGAGCTTCAATCCCAGAACAGATTTCCTCTTTCTTTCTTTCTTTCTTTCTTTCTTTCTTTCTTTCTTTCTTTCTCTCTCTCTCTCTCTCTCTCTCTCTCTCTCTCTCTCCCTCCCTCCCTCCCTCCCTCCCTTCTTTCTTTCTTTCTTCCTTTCTTTGTTCCTTTCTCTCTCTTTCTTCCTTTCTCTTCCTTCCTTTCTTTTTTCATCATAATGGCTAGCTGGGTGTAGTGGCACATACTATAATTGAGAACTTGGGAGCTGGAGGCAAGAGGATTAGTTCAAGACCAGCCATAGCTACATGAGAGCCTGTTTTAAAACAAAACAAAACAAAAATAGCAAAATAAGGAGCTAGAGAGATGGCTCAGTGCATGCATACTATTGTTCACAGTCATCTGTAACTCTGGTTCTAGGGGATCCAATGCCCTCTTCTGGGTTCCTTGGGCACATGCACAGTTCACAGACATACATGCAGGCAAAACACCCAGACACATAAAATAAATAAAACAGAAAATTGTAATTGCATCTTACTCTACTATACTGCTGGCTCAAGCACTCAGCCTTGACCACATCTGTCCTAGGCTTTGGGCAGGCCATCATTGTGTGGTGGCTAGGGCTCCCCTGCCTACCCAGGAACCCTGCACCCTCCATGTTGTAGGAATGAATGTGCTTATAGGGTATTTGTTAATGGTTTACAAGTAATTCGCTGGTTAACTAATAGGACCGCTAGTTGGCCTATCCTCTTGCTTAGGAATCTGGCACACAGTAAGCACGGGTAAATATTTCTTTGGATGAATAAATGCATCGAATAAAAATTAAAATGGAGTTCTAAAACAGCGTCAAACACGAGTGAAGCCACTAACCACTTTTTTACCAAACTGAACAAATAGAAGAATAAACATTTACATGGGAAACAACTACTCAGAATTTAGGGCTGGGGAAGTTTGTTCCTACATCCTTCACCAGCTTTTGGGCTGGGTAGAGAGCTCTGTCAGTAAAGTGCTTACTTGCAAGCCTGAGGAACTGAATTTCAGCTTTGGGACCCTGTAAAAAGTCAGGCATACTGGCACAGATTCGTACTCCTAGTGCTAGAGACAGGTGGATCCCTAGAGCTTGGTGGCCAACCAGCCAAGTCTATGTGATGAGCTCAAGGCCAGTGAGAGATTCTGTTTCAAAACAAACAAAAAGCAGAGAGGACAGTATTTGAGAAAAGACACTGAAGGTCATGCTTGGCCCTCTGTATGTATATACCCTACACACACACACACACACACACACACACACACACACACACACGCACTAAATAAACACAAAAAAGAGGTGTTGCTTTTACATTTCCTAAGTGGAAACACCATTTTTTCCCAATCTTCTCTGATGCTGGTAAGCCAGACTTGGTGTCAGTTACAGCTCTCTTGCCAGTAAGAGAATGCACACATTTTCTCCTTTGCCTTGGCCCTAATTTGTCTTCCTATTTGTATTTTCACTAGCTTATGTTTGTTATAAAACACCTTGGGCTTTGGAAGAAGAGGGGGATAAAGTGAAGTTTAGAATTAAGCACCTATCACACATTCATTCACATGTACCAACTCAACTAGTCCTTACCATAGTGGTAGGCTCTGATCATCCCATTTGATGTGGGTGTTAAGAGACTTGCCTAAGGTCATACAGCTGCTAATTGGTGGTTCAAGACTCAGAACCTGGCTGTAAAACCAAGGCCAGCCTAACACCAAACCTGAGAAGTTTCCTCTAAGCCAGCCCAAACCAACGTGCTAATGCTTGTTGGATACAGTGATATTGTTTAGCTAGTTGAGATGTAGGGTGTGTGTGTGTGTGTGTGTGTGTGTGTGTGTGTGTGTGAGAGAGAGAGAGAGAGAGAGAGAGAGAGAGAGAGAGAGAGAGAGTTCTTTTTCTCTCTCACTTGCTGGCTGGTTTGCTGTTTTATTTTCACTTGCCAAAACCTTGCCTGTCTCTTCCATATCTCATGTCTCCACATCATCATGAACCAGTTGATACTGATTTAGACCATCTCCCGAGAGTCCCCAGAAAGACATGCACATATAAGAAAACCACAGTCTAATGTTTTAAGAGCTGCACTACATAGTGTCATTATGAACTTCCTCCAGTGACTGTCAACAAATTCTTTCCAGGGTCTAGCCTAACTCTAGTCTTCATATAGTACCTGTTAATTCACTACCCGGCTCTGTTTGCCCATTCCACACAGTTGCTGGGGCAGCCTGCCCACTATGTGGGAAAGATTTCCCTACAGGCTGCTGAAGAAGACAAGGGAGGGGACTGGGGGCAGGAGCTGAGGCCTGTCATCCAGTTTTCTCTAGCACAGGAAACATGGCTCCCCAGACATGCTCTGAAGCAACAGGGCCTTCCCTTTCTTCACTCCAGAAGGAGGCAGGGTGGGGGGAACTAAGCCTTTCTACCCTTCTTAGCTCATGCTTCCTCTCAGTTTGGGACTCTGTGGGAGGAATCTTTAAGGGAAGGTGCGTTTGGAGGATGTTTGGATGATAGGGACTCTGGGTGGTAGGCCATTGCTGGCTGGATAGCTGGCTCCTAACAGTCCCCCAGTCGTATTTATGGCAGCTTCTCCTCCTTCTCCTTCTCCTTCTCCTTCTCCTTCTCCTTCTCCTTCTCCTTCTCCTTCTCCTCTCCTCCTCCTCTCCTCCTCCTCCTTCTCCTCTCCTCCTCCTCCTCTCCTCCTCCTTCTCCTTCTTCCTCACCAGGAGGCACTAGTCCTGGCTCTCAGCTTGGAAAGGGGGGCAGATCACTTCCAGAAAGGATCTCTGTAGTATGCCTTCAGTCTGATTCTGAAGACAAAACCCGAGGAGCCAAGGCTAACTGGGGAAATGATGGCTCCTATGGAAAAGGGCTACAGCCCATGCTGAGAACGGAGGACTGAGCCTCATTAGCAAGCGATTTAGGGACCACTGAAGATGGGTGGACAGGCATATTCTTGACCAGTTTTCCTTGGGCATATGGCTGGCTGTGACACCCAGACATGCATGGTGTGAAGAAGCTGTGGACCTGCGGAGCCTCAGAGGTAGTGGGAGGTCGAAGTGGGGGTGAGAGAAAGAAAGATAAGTGGACCCAGTGGGAGGCAGGTAGTCTTGAGGTCTAGACCACTAAGCAGGCCTCACCGTTCTCGGCCTCAGAGCAGAAGGTATAGGCATCTCAGCTTTGCAGGCAGGAGGAAGGCATAGGGTTGTTTCTTGGGGACCTGTTGGCTCAAACCTGTCCCTGGGCTGCAGTTTCCTCAAATGGTTCAGCCACTCCTGATACCCTCAAGTACAGCTGAGGCTAGTTTAGGCTAGTTTAGGGCCCAAGCTCCAGTTCAGCATCTCCCTGCGGCCACCAGGCCCGGTCTGGCCCAGCATGGCCACCTGCCTGCTCTCCTCAGTGACTTCTAGCCGTGCCAGGCCGGTGGGGTTTCCACGGTGCTTTTCAGTGCCCACGGGTGCAGGTGTGAGCATGGCCAGGGTTCGCACAGGGCGTGTGTGCCCTCGGCCCTGAGGACACCGGCTCCCAAGTCCATTGCGTGCAGGTGGGGCAGCCGGAGAGCCGTAGCCAGGCCCAGCTGGGGAGCAGGCCTGGCTGTCCAGTCTCTGTGAGAACAGGGCACCGCGACTTGGGCCTCCCGTCCCCTATTCCCGCCTTTCTAATCTAAACCATGCGGGGCTCCAGGCCGCTGCCTGGCCCGAGGACTGCGGGAAGGACACCCAGCTACACTGCGATGGAGCCGGCAGCCAGAACAAGGCTTAGGGTTGGGAAGGACGGAGGAGTCCCAGGACCCTAGAATCCCCCTCTCCGGGGGGCGGCGGGCGAGAACTGATTGACAGCTGCGACGTCAGCACGGAGGGGGGGCGGCCCCGGAGGGAGGGAGGACCAGGAGGAGGGAGCAGAGGCCCCAAAGTGCAGCCACGGAGATCAAGGGCCCGCTCCACACCAGGGATGTGCCGGGCCTCGAGGGTGCAGCGGGCACTGGGACAGTGGTGACCCAGAGACCCAGGCAGAGCCCTTACCGTCCCACGACTCTCGGACCTGAGTTGGTTGCAGACCTGGGGTCACAGGCGCCTCCGCATGCTGCTGTGCAGTTAGGGTGAGTGTGGGCTCCAGCCTGTCGTGGGTGAGCAGGGCGTGGGGCTGAGGGTCACCCAGCTCAGGGTTAATCGACAGGATCTAGAGGGATGAGCTGAGCCGGGTCCAACTGGGGTAAGGGCCTCTGGTGGTCAAAGTCGCCGGACTGCGACCGTACCTTAGTAGTCAGATTCACTGCCCCGGCCGGCGATACTCAGTGGCAGGGGCACAAGCCCCTAGTTTGGAGTATGGAACTAAATGGATTTAGGGACCAAAGAGTATTATTGCTTAAGAAGCAGCTTCTTAGGTACAAGAGTCCGTGGCCTTGAAATTCGAATTTGCAGAATAAGAAAAGGCCAAAGAAGAGGGCTCGGGACTAACGGTGAAAACTGAAAATCCATTGAAGAAATGTGGGTGATCAGAACCTTGACGCCACCGACTCTGCAGATTTAAATCAGTGACGGTTACATAAGTAACAATAGCTCAAAAATACCACAATGTAAGCAGTTGCCAAAGAAACAGCGAAACGGCTAACCGATGTAATACTTAGGATTTTTTTTTTGTTGTCAGCAAATAGTCTTTTTCAGGATCGAATGAAAGTAGTAATAACAATTTGAAAAGGACTGAAGACAAAGTACCTTCAAATACAGAGACAAAGCAACCACCATTGTATCAAAGGCACTATCCATAGTATATAAAAATTAATACTGATATAGCAAATTGCTAAACTGAGGTACTGTAGGAAACAAGCCAGGAAAAAGATGAGCTATGCAAATATTAAGGAAAATTCCTTTAGTATCCATGTGAGATTATCATACGATGCATTATTGATATCATATCAATATTAAATATTAACCAAAATATCAACAAGTAATTGTAATAGATGTAGAGACACAGTGATGAAGATTGCTGGAGTAATGAGAATTTATGAGCGAGTACTAATAGTCATAATAGTATAAATAATGTTTGAGTAATAATTATTATACCAACGCGCTGAAAAACAATCAGAGTAATAAGGGCTTCAGCAATCTTACAAATGATGACAAAGTGACAAGAAGCCATGAAGTGATGAAAAATAACAGGTAAATTAAGATCCATACTGCAAATAATGATAAAGAGAGATATTATAGTGGGGTGATGAGTAATAATGCCTAGAGTATGAACAATCCTAACAAAACACATCATGGCAAAATAAGAAATATTATAATGATGTAAAAAAATTAACCTGAATATAGGGAACAATAATTATGCTAAATAACAATAATGCTAAATAACAACCTATGAAAATCTAGATAGAATGAAGAGTTAGAAGTGGGAACATGAATTGGATGCCCAGTAGAAGTAAAATAATGATATATTAATAGGGCCAATTGAACACTGTATCTAAGGACCTAGACACTGGTTAACAATATTACTAATGTGCCTGCAGAGCCCTGAAGAGCAAAACAGTAACAGAAAAGCAAAACGTATTTCATAATATACCAAACTCCAGCTTTACTCTTACAGCGTTAAAATCACGAATAATTCCGTAACTAGGCATAAATATTCTTAATGTTACCGTACCGCCCAGAATTTTACTTCGATAATAACAATTAAAACATTACAAATGGTAAATATTTTTTAAAAATATTCTCCGGGAGTAAGGAAAAATTTCACTAGTAAAAAATATGAAAAGAAAAATGCTACCTCCCCCCCTGAAAAATGAGATAGCCCAAAGCAACCATCCCAGGCACAGCACAGCCCGCGGGTCTTCCCAGGGAGGGTTGAAGTGAAGGGCTCTGGCGTGGAGGCTGAGGCGAGAGAGACCTAGGTTGCTAGCATCTGAACACACTGGGACCGAGAGGAACGCCCAAAGAAGCAGGGGGGGGAAGGAATTTTGGGGGCGTCTCGAACCATGACTTAGAGGCAGAGGGACACAGTAATCTGCGACACGATGGAGGGGAAGGAGACAGTAGGTAACCCTGGCCACGGTTGTAAAAGGACAGCCCACATCTGCGTGCAGCACGGCGAAGAGCGAGCTGCAAGGCGGCTCCCTGTTCGGCTCTGGGTGAGGAGGGACCGTAGCACAGCGCAAGCAGCCTCTGGTCCTGGCCACGCGAACCTCCGCACCTGGGGCCGGTGGGGCTGTTGGTGGGCGTCCATCCTGGTTGGCGCCCAAATAGAGTGGAAGCCAGTACACTAGGCAAGACGCTTCAGCGTCCCAATTTGCTGGAATCCAGATTTTCGAAGCCCAGCCTGGGACCCTGCACGTGGGTCAAAGCAGGGTGCAGGGGCAGGCCATGTCCAGCAGCGATCCTTGCTTGTTCCAGGCAGGCTGTGGCCGAGACCGGCTGGGCTGTCAGCCTTATCTTTATGGGCTTTTCCCAGCCCAGGCTGGCCCTGGCCCCCTTTTATCTCCTTGGTTGCACTTGGCTTGTTTACTTTGGAGGCCCTAGGAGCCGAAGTCTCAGCCTGGGTGTAGAGGCTGGTGATCTGGTTAGGGGCCTGAGCCTGGGGATGGCCAAAGAGATCTGGGGTAGAACAGAGAGGGTGTGGGAGGAGAAAAGCGAGACATTTCGCCAAGACACACAGAAAGCCCACTAAAACTTGGCCAGATCCTGAAGGAAGAGTACAGCGGAGGGGAGAAAAGCATAGAGCAATATATGGTAGCACTCCAGGGATTCAGGGCAGGCTGGTCCTTGCAAGCTAGATTTTTCCTTCTGGCATCCCCCAAACCACAGCGTGCCCTTGGACAGGCAGGTGAATAGGCCCAGATACTTAGGGGAAGTTTAGCTGTGTCCCAAGGCAAGGCCAGACTGTAATTGTGAAATGGACCCGCCCTACTGGCCTAGCGTTTAGCTAAGAAGGCTTCGAATCCATTGGACCAACACAAATTTCTTTTTGGAACTGAAGAGCGAATGTGTGTGCCAGCGTGTGCAAATGTGAGGACAGATTGAGGAGGCCCCTGGCAGACTTCAGGGTCTGGATCAGAGGGACCCCAAAAGAGAGTGTGCTCCTTGGGTGAGGAGGACGCTGAGTGGGGTTTGGAAGCTTTTGATTCAGATGTCTTCACTTGGCGTGCCTGACTGACTGAGGTGCTGGGTGAGGGCAGAAAGCTGAGTGCTGGCCTGAAGCGCCCCAGCTCCGGGCCTTTCTTAAATGTGGGGTTGCAAGAACCTGGGACCTGCCTGCAGGCCTAGCTTTCCTCTCCCCGCAGGCCCAGAGAATGTCCTAAGTACCCGGGGCCAAAAGTGAGATCCTAGTTATTTCCGAGTAGTCAAGAAGACCCAGGCCTGGTGCTCTCCAGTTGAGCAGGAGGGAGTGCCATGGGGTGCAGCGGGGACTATGCGGGAAGGCGGTCCTTCCTCAAGCCCCAAGTCTTGGGGGCAGGCAGATCTTAAACTGCACGTAGACCCTCCCAAGTCTAGAACCTGAAGGGAGGAGGCTAGGGTCCTGCCCTCCCGCATGCTCCCTCCCCCAGCTCAGAAGGGGGCGGGGTCCACATGTGTTGGGGCACCCACTAGAAGCCCCGGGGGCTCAGCTCCACAGGGCCGCGGGGCCTCTGGCCAGTGTGGATCCCGCTGAGTAACTTGGCGTGCGTTGCGCCCGCAGGAGATGCTGCAGGATAAGGGCCTGTCGGAGAGCGAGGAGGCCTTCCGGGCCCCGGGCCCTGCGCTTGGGGAGGCCAGCGCCACCAACGCTACCACCACCGTACCCGAGCCCACGCTGGCCACCCCTGGCCTTAGCGGAGCAGCTCTGGGCAGTCCCCCGGGCCAGGGAGCCGACATCGCCGCTACCGCCGCCGAACAGGTAGGGGCGTCGAACTGTCTGTGCGCATCATCCCGGTGGGTCGTAGACAGGACTCCTGGGTCAGAGACTGTCAGCCCTTTGGTTCTCCGCTAGGCATGGCTCGTGCTCTCTGCTTTCGAGGGAGGGTCCTTCTCCACCTCGAACCCTCAGGGCTGACTTTGCCCTGGAAGGGATATTCCTGATTCCCAGGAGGAGCCCAAACCAATGTCCAGCTCCGAGGACCTCCAAGAGGGTGAAAACCAGGGAGCAGGACAGATAGAAAGGTCACAGAATTGTCACCGAGAAGGCTTTAGAGCCGCCACCCTGGACATCCTCACAACCCGCATCCCCCGAGCCTCTCTGTGTCCCTCGGTCCAACTACAAGCGGTGGCTAAGGCCAGCGGTGAAGTGTCGTATCTTGGGGGTGGGGGCGGCATGGTCACTGTGTGTCCTTTGTAGGGTCATCAGTAGGTGAAGCCCAAATGGAGGGAGTTTGAATTTCTGATTTCAAAACTTCAAATTCTCTAATGGTTCAAAATAACATCGTGAAACGAAATCTCGAGGAGTGGGCTCTGAGGCTGGCATGTTCTGCCCGCTTCGTCGGTCTGGACTCTACTCTATGCAGGCTCTGCGTGGAGCCCAGCTGTGGCCCAGCCAGGCAAACCAGTTCTCCTCCCTCCCATCCCCAGACCATCGAGAACATCAAGGTGGGGCTGCACGAGAAGGAGCTGTGGAAGAAGTTCCACGAAGCGGGCACCGAGATGATCATCACCAAGGCCGGCAGGTCAGCCTGGGCAGCAGGTGGGAGCCGGGAGGATGAGTCGCGGCCCAAGGCTCCTCTAAGTGGGGATAGCATTATGCTGATGACATGCAAACAAGGGCAGTCATGCCTGAAGGCCACCTGCAGGGATGCTTGCCTAGGAAACTCCTGGTGACCCAAGAGAGAAAGAAGGTTGCGCTTCTCAATCGCCCTAACTTTTGGGGAGCAGCGTGAACCCCAAGTTACTTATCCTAGGGCAACACCCTCCTCAGCCTAGGAGAAGGTACAACTGGGTCCGTGTGTGGTTGGGGAGCCTCCCTAGCTCTCAGTGGCTGCCAGGGAAGGGTGATTTATAAAGTGGAAACATCTTTAATATGCACTGGTGTCTGTAGGAGAGAAGAGGGAGGAGAGGGTGAAAAGAGACACAGAACTCTCTCTCCCTCTCCCTCTCTGTGTGTGTGTGTGTGTATGTGTGTGTGTGTGTATGTGTGTGTGTGTGTGTGTGTTCTGGAGGGGTCACATGCCTGTGAGTGTGTGTGTAAAGTAGACATTGGCTGTGCTGGGCTGTCTGGCATAGGACGGGAGTGGCCCAATAGAGCAGCTGGCAAGGGAAGGAGACAGCGATGGGCACTGAAAACTTACAGCTTAGGAAGCTGTTGTGGATACTCTGCCCTTCTGCATGCATACACTTGGTTTTGGTCTCTGGGAGCCTGTTTCCATCTGTACAATCCTCAGACAAGGGCCATCTGGGTCTCTACCTGCATCCACTTCACCCACCCGAGACAAGGTCCTGCTTCATTCAGGGGCCCATAAAGCATGTGGCAGGGCTTGGTTTCAAAAGAAAAGAAAGTCAGTAGGCGCTGTGTGTAGTGCATGGATGCCAGGGTCCTTCCTATAGGCTCCCAGGCACGCGCTGTGAAGCTTTTCTGTTGTTGTTGAAGATGGAAACAAGGACACTTGGCCACCCTCTTGTGGCCTGGCATGGTCAGCCAGGGCTTTTCAGGGAAGAAGGGAGGTTGGTTTTAGAACCCCAATTTTGCTGCTTTTGGGGGATGGAAAAGAGGATACTTTAGTGTTCTTGGCAGAGGGTGGCCTGGTCAAATAGAATAGTCATGGAGAACAGAGAAAGAGGCTTTACCTCTTTCCAGCTGGGTGCACTTGGGCGAGTAACTACCCTCCTGTGGCTCCTTGGTGTCAGGTGTTTGAAAATGGTACCTGTATGTATACCTGCTGGCCTTCCTAACTCTGGGACTGGAACCAAGGGCTTTCTGTGAAAGGCACTGGCACATTACAGGTGTGGAGAAAGGGGCATTGTTCTCTTGTGCTTGCTGACATGGAGGGAAGGAAAAAAAAAAAAACATACACACACCCCAGACTTTACATTTGTAGATTTTAGCCTCTTGGAAATATATGATGGGCATGTTTTCTGGATATATTAGTTTGTGGTTTTCAGTGAGTGAGCTTTCTATACCTGTGTGGGTCCACCTTCCTCCCTAGTCCAAAGAGAAGTCCTTAAACCCACACTGCAGAGGCTGCCCTAAGGGTGGGCTTCCAGAATTGTGCTGATAGCTTAAAAATGGCTGTGAGGATGCTAGTCAATTTTTTTTTTTTTTTTTAAATGTGGTCCTCACATCCTTTCGTTTCTCTGGTGGAAAAGTATCCCAGATCTAATTGGAAAAAACTCACCAGCCTCAGCTACTTCCTCTTCAGATTTCACAGACCCCATTTCTTCCTGCAAACCTTCCTACTATCTTTTTTTGGGGTGGGTGTGTGCTATGATTCACCCCATCTTGCATGTGCTAAGTGTGCTGCTAAAGCACTGAGCTACCCTGCCAGAACCCCGCTTGTCTTCAGAGAGCACCTTCATTGACTGACTCTGGGGCAGTTTCTGGATGCAGCATGCTCTGTGTGGATTTGTGACGCTTTGCCACCCGGTCGGTCAGTGTCTCTCAAACTCTGCAAGTCTACCACTAGTTACCCTAACTGGGACATGCTCATTTCTTAGCAGATGGCCCAGGTATACAGATTCCAAGATGTAAAAATCTCCTTGATGACTTTTTTTTTCTCTTGTGTCTTTTCCTTCCTTCCTTCCTTCCCTTTCCCTTTCTCTTTCTTTTCTTTTCTTTCTTTTTTTAACTGATGCCCTGTAAAGTGTAGGTTTGTTTGGTCCTAGCCACTCTGGCTGCTCAGGGGCATGATAACTGTTGTCTGGCTGGGGAAGGGTGGGACTCTGGAGAAGGGAACTAGAACATTCTCAAGACGATAGAGTTCACGGTTTCCCAAATTTCCTGCCCATTGGGTCCTTGAAAAGTTTGAAGGCTAAAGGAAGAAGACTATCAACCTCCTTGAATAGTGCCTGTGATGAAAATGCTCTAAGATCCTCGATGGCAGGTATCACATGAGAGCCAAACCCTCCCTAGTGAGTCGAAGTTCCTCTCAGCCCCTTGTACCCAGAGTGTTCATGTTGGTAATAGCAAAGAACAGATTCCTCTCTTGGCTTCATATCCCTTCCAAGTTTGATACATGTGAGAAACTGCATTTTTCCCCTCCCAAACACAGATAAAAGTGAACTCCACAAAAATTTAAATATAAACCTTCCAAAAATGAACATTTCCTACCCATCTGACTGCCCTTCTCCTAGGTCATGCTTTTGCCACCAGATAAATCTCCACTATCAGCCTTCATAGCCTGTTGAGTTCAATGTTGCTTGTGTTAGTGACAGTGAATTTGCGTTTGAAAAATGAACTACCGATGAGAACTCCTGTTGAACCTGTATTGTTTGTTATTCTGAGGCAAGGATTTGGCCCAGCTTAATCCCAGGCTTCAAAGCCAATTGCCCTTGCTCTGTATACAGAGCGTCAGAGCCCAGTGGCGTGGATGATAAGAGAAGTAAGGGTTGAAGACACTGGGAAAGTGGGTTGGGGAGAGAGTGCTTTGATCTCGTCTTAAAGTATTTTCTGAAAGCAAAAGTCTATCAGAAGGAAGTGCCTTAAAAAAAAAAAAAAAAAAAAAAAAAAAAAAAAAAAAAAGGCCGAGCAAAGCAACTGACCTTCCCAAACAGCATCATCCATTCCACACACCCTCCCCTCAACCCTTCCCTCAGGGAAAACACGGCTTTAAAAATGCTCTGGGTGTATTAGAAAGGCAATCTCTCTCTCTCTCTCTCTCTCTCTCTCTCTCTCTCTCTCTCTCTCTCTCTCTCTGTTTCAGAAATCATTTGGCTCCAAAAGGGGTCTGGCCAGAATATAGGCCACCCTCACCCCGCCCCCCTTTGGTTTCTGCCCATACCTTCCCAACAAGACCGCAGGATTTTAAGGATAAAATGATGGGCAGGCCTTCCAGTGATCCCCTTCAAGTCATTTTGCATTTTGTTTCCCTTCAAGGTGCTAAGTTAGGAACCGTGTGTGTGTGTGTGTGTGTGTGTGTGTGTGTGTGTGTGTGTGTGTGTGTTTGTAAATGTAAGCATGTGTCGTTTAAATGTAGATTTCTTTTTTGAAGTGAAATATTTCTGCAAGAGAATGAGGCTGCATCTGAAGTTTACAGCCCGATAGAATTAAAAAAACAAAACAAAACACCCCCCCAAAAAAACATGAACCTAGGGTGTAACTACCATCCAGAAAAGGGAAAACCTCTCCAGTGCCCACCATCCCTCCTGCAATGCCCTTCTGGTCACCACTGCAGCCACCCTGAAACGGCTTTCTACACTTATCACCGGCTCCGGTGGTTGTAATGCCTGCATTTAAGGGAAGTCACGTGTAGCTGTTCAGGACTCTACGCCCCCCCCCCCAGGGAAGTCGGGGGTCTGCGGTGGGTTGGGTTTTGGGGTTCTGCTAGGTAAGAAGAATCTGGTGGGGTTCCAAGATCTTGATTTCTACTCTGTCGCCAGGATGGGGGAGCGTGCACTAATTCGGTGCCTTGCTTTGACAAGCTAAGACCCAGGAGCACAGCAGTCGCGAAGCGTCCTCTCCCAGGGAGTTCGCTTTTACAGATCTGTGGCCAAAAGCACAACATCCCCCAACCTCGGGCCTGCACACAGAGGAAGCTTATCCTAGCAGCTCATTCTAAAGCCATTTCCGAGTATGAAGCAGATAAAGGCTCGGGTCCGGTACCCCTTCAGAGCCGGCTGCTGATCAGAGGGGAGGTCCCGGCTTTCATCTGCTCCCGGCGGGCGGCCAGGCGGCCGGCATGTTTATTCCCCTGGCGGAGCCGCTTCCGTGCGTGCTGGCCGCCGTAGCTGTCTGGGGACAGCGCGGGTGCTGGGACCCTGGGTGGCGGGGAGAGAGAAGGCGCGGAGGCACGTGCAATGGGTACAGAAGGGCTCAAGCAGCATGGGGTGCAGCGGCAGCCAACGCTAGTGGTAGCCTCCCCTCCTGCTCCGCCTTCCCAGCCCTGAAACCCCCCCCCCCCCCAGAGTAGGGTGTTGGTTTTCAGGTACCTTTAAAGTCGTAAATCAGAAATAACTTATAGCTCACAGGATCGTTTCGTGTGTTTCATTAGGAGGACCTTTCCTTCGCCAGTAGAGCGCTGAGGAAGTCACAGCCTCCAAACTCAGCCTGGCTTTTGCGAGGTCTGCTTACCCGATACCCAGCCCTACAGTTTGGGCCTTTGGGTTCCAGCAATAGCCCTTTCTTAAATCAAGGGCAGATCTCTGTGCGGTTAGGGGTGTTGTACTTCACCTTTCCATGCAGCCGCCCTTCACTCTGGGCAGACAACTGGGTATTTGGCATGGGGTTGGTGGCAGCGCTCAGGGGGGTGGGGTCTGCAGATCCCTGAAGCATGCCTTCAACAATCTTGGCTTAGACCTGGCCATTTGTTTTGTTTCTAAGTGGGCAGTTCATCCTGCCATAGGGGCCCCACACCAGGTACCCTGGCTGCCCTCTCAGCTTGTGAAGGCTGATGCCCTCAGAGGAGGACCTGGAGGGTAGAAGAGGCAGAGGCCAGGAGGTGCTCTCCTTCCCTATATGAGGGCCCCAAGACCTCCCAAAAGTGGCCCCTGGAAGGGGGCAGACCCTGGCCCTAAGCCCAGAGCGGCAGAGTGCAAGAATCTCAGGGATTTCTGAGGAGCACTCAGTGTCTGCTTGGCTCTTTGAGCAACATGGGAAGTTCAAGATCCCTCAGGCTCCTTTCCTTCCAGGCTCTACACACTGCTGAAGAGGAAGGAGGCTATGGCTGTCCCCTGCTGTTGCCACCTGCAGCGACTGACTACCTGGGCCCAGCTAGTCCAACACAGCCAGGGCTGCCCCATTTTGTTGCTGTTTCTGTAGCAGTTAGGAAATGGTGGCCTGGAGAGGACAGGGTTCTTGGCCTTCCCCCAGGGAGGGAGAGGCAAGGCAGCTGCTGCCTTCCTCTTTTCGCTTTAAACCCACCAGGAGTGAGGCTGGGCAATTAAACAGGCTGGCATCCACTCCAGCTGTGCCCCTATGCCAGGCAGGGGGCTGGTTCGAAGGAGGATAGATCGGGTTCCTGAGTTCTCTGAGTTCCTCCCATCCTTGGAGAGGGGGTGGGGTGGATATTTGAAAAAGCTTTCAATTGACATCTGAGACAAATTCTTCCACCCGGTTTATAAGTCCCTAGACTTGCAGCTAGAACTGCTCCCCCCCACTCCCCCCCCCTCCCGTCCGCCCTCCAGGCACGCATACTAGGCACACATGCGCACTTGCCCCATATGCTCATGCACATGCGCCTGGGCCGCCATAGCTGCCCTTTCTCTCTGCAGTGTGTGTACCAGTGTTTCCTGTAGCTGGAGAGGTGCATGGGGTGGTCCAGGCAGGTCCTGGAGGGGAACCAACTCTTCCAGAACCCTTCTGCACAGGGTCCCAGTTTGCTGTGGGGTCTGCCAGCTTGTGGAGACCTTTACTCTTTCAGGAAGTCCTACCCTATACAGGTAAGCTAGGCACTGTTGACAAACGGAGGTGAGGTGTGTCCAGTCTGTCTGAGGTGTTCAGGGCAGCTTCTTGTGAGGTTCTCTGGGTTAGGGAATAGCTTCCTGGTGTTGACTTGATTCTCAGCACCACAGTGGAGGGTGGGTTGAGGCTCCCAGATCTCTATGGCTTCCATCAGGTTTGGACCCTGCTTCTCTTCTGGGAAACCCCTTAGTGATTTGTTTGTTTTTGTTTTTCGAGACAGGATTTCTCTCTGTAGCCCTATTTGTCTTGGAACTCTGTAGACCAGGCTGGCCTCAGAGATCCCACCTGCCTCTGCCTCAGGAGTGCTGGGCTGCTGATTTTTTTTTTTTTTTTTTAAATTTCCCTCATTCTTTGAGAAGGTTTTGGGATGTCGTCTAGATTGGCCTCTAACCAGAAGTCCTACTGCCTCAGCCTCCCTGAGCCCTGGAATTATAGGTCAGGATGAAGGGCCACACTGATTTTAAATGTGACTTGTGTAATGTGGTGGCCATATCTGACCCAGGTGGTGCTAGGCAAGTGGTTTATACCCAAGCTCGTTTCTCCAGCCCTTTTTGTTGAGAGTCAGCTGGGAGGAACTGGAGGCACCTGTGTGTGGAGGGGTGGGCACGGCCGTTCTGTCTGCCCTGCTCTGGTTAAGTAGGAGCAGAAGGCCCTGTGCTTTTGCAGGTTTGTCTGTGGGTGCTGAGGGCCCTAGAGAAGCTCTTCTCAGTATTGAATTAGGGTCCTGGACAGTTTCATCATGGGCTACAGGAACCGGAAGACTCGTTTTCAGAGAAATAGGCCACACCACTGGCTTGTGGGAGGTGGAACAGAGCAGGGACTGGAGGAAATAGTAATGTTAGCCTCACTTGAGAGGTAGGGAAACCAAGGTAGGGGAGATCCAGGCAGGTGGCCTGAGGCTTAGCTGGTTAGTGGTGGGCCTGGCTGTGATCAGTGGTGTGCTGATTTCAGCCTCTGAGTTTTTACCCATGAGGCATCCCCACTGACTTCCTGGATTCCTATGCCTCTGTATGTCCATGGTGAAGCATCCTCCGTGAGAAATTCCCCTGCAGCACACACAGGAAGGACCAGGTTTAGCAGGCTTTCCCCTGAGTGCTCTTTCCTATGAGAAAGGAAGGCATCTCATTGCTTATGGGAACAGCTGACAGTGGCCTTCAGGTCAGCGACACTACTGCCCTATGATGTCACCTCAGAACTTGAGCTGGCAAAGGGCTGGGGACAATGAAAGGCAGCCAGATTGCTACTGAGATGCCTTGTCACTGTCCCGACCAGGGTCTCTATACTTGTGTGACTCACAGCTACTGGGTTCTGCTGTTGGGGGATTTCTGGGGTGGGAAATTCAGGAAAAGGTGTAAGTTGTCTTTGTGGATGTAGACCGACAGTTGGTGGGGTCTGGTGTAGTTTGGACCACATTGTCCTGTGGTGCGGTGAGGACAAGGCGTGGGTGGTGACCCTTGGCTGAAAGGGCGCCATGTCTGCTCTCACATTTACTCTGCCATTTCTCCTGCCCTTCTGCCGCAACCCTTGGCCCCTCAGGAGGATGTTCCCCAGCTACAAGGTGAAAGTCACAGGCATGAACCCCAAGACCAAGTACATCCTGCTCATCGACATCGTCCCAGCTGATGACCATCGCTACAAGTTCTGTGATAACAAATGGTAAGAGGCTGTTCTTTCTTCTCCTGACTCTGGCCAGTCACAGCCCAGATTCACTTTGCTAGTGTAATGCCTGCACCCGGGCAGGGGCCATGGCGAGTGTTTTCAGCACCAGCACCACCAATGGCAGGTGTGTAGGCTTTGTGGACCTTAACAGCCAGGCCCTAGTCCCCACAGTCATGGACAGTCCTGTGCTATCTGGCAGGAAAAATGGTAGATTCAGATGCTGCTAATGCCTCACTGAGGTGAAGAATGGGAAACACTTTCCTTCCTTTCTTCCTTCCTTCCTTCCTTCGTTTTTGTTTTAATTTGTTTTATGAGCATCAGTGTGAAGGTGTCAGATCTCTGGAACTGGAGTTACATACAGTTGTGAGCTGCCATGTGGGTGCTGGGAATTGAACCCTTGTCCTCTGGAAGAGCAGCCAGTGTTCTTAACCACTGAGGCATCTATCTCTTCAGTCCTGGGAACCATTTTTCTTGAGAAACTTTAATAATTTAGTGACATTACTTGGTTTGAAGTTTTCATGTTTCTCTGTCAGACTGAGGGATCTGCTGCCTTGGGTCAGACAGTAGGGCCTGGAGGGCTCTGGGGAAGAGGTAGACAGGTTGAAGAGCCAAGTGAGTACCACACATCTTAGCACTGTCCTTGTCCCTGAACATCTGGCTGGAACACTGGGCTCCATGGTGGTGGAGGTCATAGAAGCAAAAACTAGGTTAGAATTCAGAACAGGCTCTGGAGTTGAAAGTTGTTTAGGGCCTATGGAAAGTTCCAGCTGACACATTTATAACATGGAAAAAGTAAAACTATATAAGGGGGGGCAGACAATAACATGGTAGCTCAGAAGTTAAATAAAAATTATAAATAAAATATAAAGATGTGCCTGAGTCTCCCTGAAGTGTCTTTATAAAGAGCCTGGTCCTTTGCAGTCAGTGTACCTGCCCGCCTTATCGGCCCTCCTGCTGAAGTGAAGTAAGAAGCTGGGAAATTCTGACTTCTCCCCTCCCTTTCCTCCCCTCTCTCCCCTCCCTCCTGGTTCAGTACTGGCTATTAAAACAGCTGGGAATGGGGAGTTAGGCTTCACCAGACCCCAGGGAACTCAACTGCTCTGCTTTGTCGGTAGGATGGTTGCAGGGAAGGCTGAGCCGGCCATGCCAGGGAGGCTTTATGTCCACCCAGACTCTCCTGCCACCGGGGCCCATTGGATGCGGCAGCTGGTCTCTTTCCAGAAGTTGAAGCTGACAAACAACCACCTGGACCCCTTTGGCCACGTAAGAACAAGGATGGGCTGGTCTTGGGAGAGAGAGCGGCAGTAGGGGGTGGGCCTTATGGGTTTGAGAAGGAAGATAGTCCACTTTTTGTCAGGCCTCTGACCCTGCAGATAGCTGTGTGTATCCCTGTCCTCCTTACTAGCTGGTGACTCTGGGCACGTGTCTCATTTCTTTGTATAGAGAATGGGGGTGACCATATATGCCTTTCGGTGTAGTGAGACCTAGATGGGAGCATATACAGGAAGTACCTTAGAGAAGAGCTAAGTGAATGGCAACTATGACCATGGAGATGATGATGATGGTAGTGATGATAGTGATGGAAGATGATGCTGATGATGACAACTGTGATGATGATCGATGGTGATGATGATGTCAATGGTGATGAAATTGGGGATGGTGCTGATGATGACCACACTGGTGATGATGACCATGGCAGGGGTAGTGATGAAGATGATGGGGATGGTTTGGTTTTCTAAAACCTATTCCTGATAGACTCTACAGATGTGAATTCTGAAGTCTCTCTGAATGTTCCATGCTTCTGACCTCTGGAAGAGGAGGGTCATCTCTGGCTCCTGGCTTAGCCTCTGCATAGGTCAGGACAGTAATGATAATAGTAGGAGCGACAGTAGTGCTCCCTGCAAACATCCCAACCCCAGCTTCCCAGGCTCATTCTTTCTCCATCTGGCCCTGGCAGGCCCACAGAAAGGAGCTTTTTATGGGGAAATCTTTAGCTCAAATGTGTTGCAAACAGAAGCCTGGCAGCTGGGCTTCAGACCCTGCCTCTGTGGATCCCTGTGATTCTCTGGTAGTGTCCTGCAGGGGTGTGGGGGAACCCCAGGCAGTGGAGGCCGCTGGGTGTTTGTGATACTGCATTCCTAACACAGAGGTGTGGGGGGGGGAGAGCAAGGGCACAGGTCTCTTGCACAGCTCAGCCTCTGGGGAGCTGTGTACAAGTCAGGATACGGAGAAGGAAAGTCCCTTCTGGAAAATGCCAGAAGTGCTTCATCCTGATTGACAGGAAGCAGCTCCTGGTTTCAGTTTCTGAATGGACTCAGCTTTCTTCTTGGTCACTGGTGATGTAAATATGCACCTAGGGTGCTGAATTCACCAAATTAACCATCTCTGTTTTACAAGTCTCTATACTGGGTTTTCCAAGCAGGGCATGAAAATCCCAGTGGGGAGGGAGGGTCAGCCAAGCCCCAACTCCCAGAGCAAATCCTGACCAGGTCTCTGCCCACATGACTCCTGCTGGAGCTTGTCTGCACTGTGGTATATGGCTTGCAAGATGAGGGAGGGCTACATATTAGCAGGGAATGTAGGCAGGACCCTCTAACCCTGCAGGCTCATGCAGCACTGGCAGGATGGGCAGCTGAAAGGACCTTGAGATTAAGGGTTTGGATGGGATCTTGTGTGCGCTTGCTTGTTACCAAGGATCCCAGCTGCAAGGTGCTTCCTAAGACAGCTCTACTTCCCAGGCCTGGCAGAAGGTGAGAGGAGAGAGGGTACCCAGGCTTGTAAAGCTGGCTCTTCTTTAGAAGGAGAAAATACTGTTTTCTCAGCCCATCCCCCATCCTTGGTGGCTCCTCATGTTCTGTAACTCTGCATGTGTTCATAAGTTTGGCCAGTGGGGACTACCATACAGGTGGTAAGGCTGTGGGTACCATGGCTTCACCGGCCCTGCCTATCGGGCTCATCTCTTTGGCAATAGAGGTTTACCTCAGCTTTCATCCCGGAAGGATGGGACGAAGGCATTTGTCCCCCTCTTTGTCTTATACTTGGCATTTATTGCCCCTTACATTGTTAGGCCCAAGGGGGTAAGAGTGCCAGGAGCCTAGGGGTAACGGGGGCAGACACTTGAACACACACCTCATGCTTTTTAGTCCCAGGCTCTTGTAGCTCCTCAACCTGTCTTTCTGGACGCCAGGGCTCTGGCTGTCTTCTCTTAGGCATTGGTAGTAACCCTGCATAGGGAGCAGTCTGTAGCCATGTAGACTAGGGCTGTGGACTCAGGCTCGCTTCTGGGTCTTATCAGGGCAGAGCAGCCCTTTGGGACTCCAGCTTTCCACTTGTATGAAGAGAGGGAGTTGGGAACTTGAAGAGGAAGGGGAAGAAGTTGCCCTTCTAACTTCTCAGTCCAGGAGCCCTGGAAAAAGCTGTCTTGTACTAAGAATTTGCCTGCATAAGTCACTCCCACAAACTAAAAGCTTCCAGACACGAAGGAATATTCCCCAGCCCAGTGGATGTGGGCTTCATCCCTGGGATTCTCAGAGCATCTGAGGAGATTTAGAAGCTGCTACCCAGTGGTGACCTTTCTCCACTATGTCACCAAAATGGCTGGGGGACCTCTCCCTGGGAATGGACCAACTGAGGGGTGAGATGGGACTGTTCCATCCAGTGGTGTGAATTACCCTGGGGTCCTCCACATGGGCTTAGGGAACCCTAGCTTAGACATTCTCCAAGCCAACCCACCCATCTCCTAACTTCCTCAGTGACCAGCCAGCCACGTGTCTTCCGTGGCATAGAAGCAGGAGGGGTCGAGTGTGGGAGGAGTACAGCAGTCACGTGGATTATCCATTTTATTTAGGTTCTTTGTCTTCAGGATTTATCCCCCCATGAACGCTCATTTGGTGTTGTCTCCCCCCCACCCCCCACCCCTTCCTCCTCTCCTCCTCCCTTCCCCTCCTCTTCCTGAGGTATGTAGGCCTTTTGTACATGGCAGGCAAGCATTCTACCCCTGCCCTCAGCTGTGAGGACCAGGAAAGGGGGGAAGGTAGGGTTTGGGCTTGGCCGCCAGTCTTCCATGGCAGATGGGTTCTAGAACAGGAACTTCTCTTAGACCACATGTCTAGATGCTCCCGAAGTCAGGGTTGAGTCCTGACTGGAAAACCTGTGGAGTTAAACAAAACTTTTTAAAAAAAAAGTGGGTGTTTTTTGTGTGCACGCATGGCTGGTCCCAGAGGAGGTCAGAAAAGGTCAGGTCATGTGGAACTGGAGTTAAAAATTCTTGTATGTGGGTTCTGGGATTGAACCCACGTCTTCTGCAAGAGTAGCTAGTACTATAGTAATTGCTAGACCACCTCTCTAGCATCAACTTGTGGGGCTTTGAAGCAAATTCCTACAAGGAAATTTCTAGTAAAAACAGTGAAGGAGGCGGCTCAGGAGGGCAAGGGAAGATGCAAGGTATGACCTGGAGGAGGGGCAGGCAGCAGGAGCAGAGAGGATCATGGGAGTGAAGCAGGAGACTCACTACCTCATGTCATTCTGCTGCTGCCAAACTGGCTGTCCATCATTTCTTGCTGCTTCCTTCCTACCCCACTCCTCCAGTAGGACCCTGTGTTAGGTAGCCACGGGATGGAAATAAGGCGTGTCCTCTCTTTTCTTTCCTAGTCTTCTAAGAGTCTAGCAATACCTAGGCTTCTAAAAGTCAAGGCGTGAATCCCGAGGGGCTGGCACGAAAGTTTTTTCTGTCAATCTAGAGGTGGGAAGGAGGTGTGTGCAGTAAGTAGACTATGCATACTTGTTCGCCGTGCAGGGGGATGGCTGCTGGCATCTGTGCTAGGCCTTTCAGCTGGCTGAGAAGGGCCATCTCACAGGCTGAATCTTGACTGGGAAGGACTGAGTTAACAACCCTCATCTAAGGATTTTTTTTTTTTTTTTTTGGCCTTTTGTTTTGAGACAGGGTTTCTCTGTGTAGCCCTGCTTGTCCTGAAACTCCCTCTATAGACCAGGCTGGCCTCAAACTCAGAGATTCATGTGAATTTCTTAACAAGACCTAGGGTACACTGGGGGAAAGGGAGCATCACTAATATCTTTCCCCCTTCCCAACATTCCAGGGGCATTCATGGTAGGGTTCCATCCCAGGTCACCCTGAGGGATAGTGAGAGAGTTTATTGGTTTACTCACAGAGCATAGATATGGCAACCTCTCCCTTGAGGCCACATCATGTAATTCAGGCAGGATTGCATACAACTGGCTGGGGGGGGGGGTGGCTGCATACTCTGGTGAGGGCCCCATGACCCCATAGTCAGTAATAGTTGGCATGTTCTGCAAGGGGGCATAGCTGAGCTCATGACAGTGGCAGTTTGGCTCAGAGGGCAGCCTTGTGCAATACCTTGCCACCCTGCCACCCTCTGGGTGTGGGTGACTTTCCCACCCCATTCACTCCTTATCCTTGGTACCTGTACTTACAAAGTTGTGTCTGTATGTATACAGTTACATGGATTTAAAAATAAGTCACAAGGGAGATGGCTCAGTCGGTCCCCATAAGCCAGAGGACCTGAGAGAGACCCACAGCACCCATGTCAATAAACCCTGCAGAGCAGCATGTGCCTATCAGTACCAGTGCTGTGGGTGTGGAGACAGGTGGAGGGCAACCGGGAGGAGACTGCATGTTGACCTCCGGCCTCTCATGCACGTGTGCATGAACACGTGCAGTGGGACACAAAACTAGTCACTGACTAAATCAAGGTGCTTTTGTTGCGATGTGCTAGCCGCTGTTACTCTAGGCATTGTTTGGCACAGGCGGACCAGGCTATGACATCAACACCGTGCTCTGTGAACAACAAACAGATCCTGGTGAGCCTTCACTTAGAGAGCATGTCCCCCCTTCCTCTGCTGGCGCTGGGCTCCTCTTTTCTGTTGTCCCTGTTTTGAGACAGGGTTTCTCTGTGTAACAGTCCTGGCTGTCCTGGAACTCATTTTGTAGATCAGGCTGGCCTTGAACTCACAGAGATCCACCTGCCTCTGCCTCCCAAGTGCTGAGATTAAAGGCGTGTGCCACCACTTTGTTTTGGTACCAGGTGCTTCAGTCTTTGTTTTTTGAGGTATGGTAGCCCAGCTAGACTTGAACTTCTGCCTCTGTTTCCCAAGTCCTAGGATTTATAGGTGTTGGCACCTTCCCAAGCTGTTTACTTTTTGTTTTCTAAGACAGGGTCTCATTGTACAGCCCTGGCTAGCCCGGAACTTGCTATGTAGACCAGGCTGGCCTCACGCTCAAAGAG